CTACTCTTACTCATGCTTCTCTTGAGCATTTCATCATACAACTAATGTGCGTATAAAACTCTATTTTAACAATAACTTTTCTCTTTTCTTTAATCATCCAAAATGGGAGAGGCTCCCTTATACTCTCTAATTTCCCTGTCAAAGGAAAACACTTCTATAAATTTGCTCAAAATTTCATTCCACTTCACTCAAACTTAACCCGAGATCAAGCAATCTCAACACTTCTCATATTTAAGTATATGCAACAACAAGTATAAATAACATCTATCTCATCTCAATTTCTCAACAACATACTTACACATACATAAATCTGTACTCAAAAGATTTCTTGAATCTCAACTTGGTTGGATTTACTTACCTTGTGAGGAAATAGCTTCTCTAATACTTCTCCTTTCCTTTGGTAGCTTGATTTCTCTCTACAACTTTAAATAACAACCACAACATAAGACTTTAACCAAAACATAATAAAACTCTCATCAAAAGTAAGAATCCTTACCTTAGGATGCTTTAGATTAAAACTCTACTAAAAACTACTCAAAAAGTCTTTAGAAATCCTTGGAAGATTGAAGGAAATTTGAGAAGAAGTAGAGAATGGAAGAGGCAGTGGAAATGGATGAAATGAAGGGTTCTCTACACTTAACCCTTTTTAGCTCAACTTATACACAAGCATTCCCATTTTGCCCTTACTCTTTCTTGAAAATTTCATCCATATCCTGTGATTCCTTACAAACACACCCCCATACTAACATATTTTCCATGAAATTTCCTTACATTTTACTCCCCACTTTTCCTGCTAATTAGGGGTAGAATGGTCAAATTGCCCTTAAGGAAAAATATCTAAAACTTAATAAAACTTTTCAGCCAACCTGTCGCCAGGGCGAAGACAATTCCGTCACCGCGGCGAAACACCCTAGTAGCTACTCCGTGGGCTGCAGCACCTCTTCGCCGCGGCGACGATTCTTCTTCGCCCCGGCGAAGCCTGTAACACAACATTTCGCCAAGTCTTCATAATTTTCAGGGCAATCACTCAACCAACCCAATACATCCATTCAACCAAGGGCCAATCAAATAAAAAATAACAACATATAAGTTTAATTGAAGCTGAATCAATGAACGTTCAAGCAATACAACAATTCTTAACTACGTACCTCAAGTGGGGCGTTACATACATCAAATCTATGTCATAGAAAATTTAGGATTATGAAAAGTGGTTCCAAGGGAAGAACTTCACCAAAGCCCTGCCCGAGGATGCAGTAAAGTTGGCTCTTATATACGTTTTGGAGCATTTTGTATTAAGTACACCTAAGAGGAGGGTTCTTAGGTAGGAGAAAATGTTATGGGCCAATGACTTGGATTACTTTAACTATATCTGTGGGATAGAATCGCATGGGAAGAGACCCTAGAGACTCTCAAAAAGGCAACCAGACCAAGGTCATTTTAGTAGGTTTGAAGAGCGTAAAAGTAAGAAGAATAAGCATGACACGAATAGGTACAACTTGATTGATTTGGTATACACCTTTCAGGTACGTAATGCACAACCAAGGACGTAGTCAGTATTTTTAGTGAATGGGTTCAAAACATTTAAGTTGACAAATTTACAATTAAATAGATACTGAAATAATAATTATAAAAAGTGTACTTTTAAAAGTTATACATCCAAAATTATAAATTCTACAATTGTTCTCGACGATTTTTCATATTTTGAAAATGCATAATTGCTTTATTGACAATTCCATCGAATATCTCAATCACTAACAAAAATTTATAAAACCCAACTTAAAACAATAACTAATTAACCCATACCTCAACATAAACAAAATTAAATAAAAACCTACATCAAAATCTAAGAATTTAATCTCCAATTTCAAACCCATTTATTAAGCTCAACAAAAACTCATAACTTATGATTTTTCATCAATTAAGAAAGTTAAAAGAAAAGAATTTTAAGTAAAAAAAAAAAAAAAAAGTATCATCTTACCTTGTAATCCAAAGGAATAGCCTTTCTTTAGTATCCAACCAAAGGAAAAAAATAATATGAGAGAAAATGAGAGGAAAAGAAGAGAGAAAAATAAAAAAAGTGTTAACTAATAATTCATTTTTATGGGGTCAACATGAATTTAAATATGATCAAAATTATAAATTTCATAAAATATAAAGACTTTTTTTTTTATTTTTTTAAAAAGTTAAGTACGTTCCATTGAACCCATATGTTTGTATGTGGCTATTTGTCTGTGCACAACTCTTGCTTTTTAATGTTGTCTTTAAATATATTTCGTTTGATTATTAATGATTTTGTTATTTTCATTAATTTTGTAGGTTTGGATTTGGGAGGCTTTGCCTAATGTAAAGAAATTCGCCCAGATGCATACGGATATATAGAGAGATTCCTTGTATGTTGAAGTGGAGTTCAAGTCAAGAACCCACTAATGAAGAAGTTTTGAGCATGGTCATTCAAAAGAAATGTTTATGAAGCTACAAAGAGGATGTCGGGGTCCTACTACGTGACTTCTAATAGTTATTTTCATGAGATGGTAGACATTGTCATTTATTTAAATGACTAGGAGAAAGACTCTAATCATTGTCTTCACTCTATGTCAAAGAGAACGAGGGAGAAATTTAACAAGTATTATGGGAGTCTTGCCAAAGCAATCGTGACGGTGTTGATTGCAACAGTGTTAGATCCTCGATATAAAATGAAATATGTGAGTTGGTGCTACAAAAATATATATATGGATGACTTGGAAAAGGCTGAAATGATGTCCAATACCATGAGACATGTGTTACAACAATTGTATGAATTTTATAACGGACTTGCATCAAATTCAAAAGAAAGTTAAGCTTCCAGTTCCTTTGCACCAATCGGAAGTCGTCAGTCTTTATCTACTGTTGTTGGTTGTGAGTGTGATGATATTGCCTTTGACCCCCTCAAGGATGCGTATGTGGAGGAGATGGAAGAAGAGATACAGGATGCTAACAAGTCAAAGTTAGACCTGTACCTTGAGGATAAATGTGAACCCATGAAGACTGAGTTGAATGTATTGGATTGGTGGAAAATAAATTTATCAAAGTATACAGTCCTCTCGCGTGTGGCAAGAAATGGCTTTGCAATTCTGGTGTCTACAGCTGCTTCCGAGTCAGCTTTTAGTACATCGGGTCCTGTACTTGGTCAATTTCGAAGTTCTTTATCTCTGTGTGTTGTGGAAGCATTAATTTGTACACAAGATTGGTTAAGATTTGCACCAAGTCCGGCTAAAGATCACTTAGAGGATGCAACGGCTTATGATGCTGGTAACTAATATCAATCTGTTATGTCCTTAACTCTTTAATTTATTTTAATTTATCGGTAAATAATTTTATTCAATGTTTTTACTTTTTAAGCTACTAATTGACTTTCTTGTGTTTATTTTGTAGATTTGACTGCATTTGACGAAGGAATATCCACGACAAATTTGGAGCATGAGACATGATGTATTATTGATTGTATTTTGTTGTTATGTTGTTTGTAATGATATGTAATTTATAATTTTCAGTTTGAGAATAGTAGTTGCATCATATATGATTTTTTTGAAACAAACTACAGGGTGTATGTGTGATTTTTGAGGGGTGTATTTGTAATTTTTAGGGTGGATTTGTCATTTTTTAAATAGCATGGGGTAATTTAATTTTTTTTTGGGTACTCAGGATCGGAACCGAAACTTGTATTCCAGGTTCTCGTTCCCAGTTCAAGGAACCTAGGAACCGGAACTGGTCGGTTTCGATTTCGGTTCCCAATGGTAGGAACCCGCCAATTCTAAGTTCGATTTCGATTCCTTTGAAAAAGGGCAGGTACCCGAACCTGCTCAACCCTAGCTTCACCGAAATATTATTTTTAAACACCTATGCTCTGAAAATACACCAAACATACCCGTGATTCTGAAAAACACATTTATAAGATAAGTAAGTCAAATTATACAAATTAAACCTAATTTTTCACATGTGATATCGATAAATCACTAAGTATAAATGTATTTTCAAGCACTTATCCAATTTCTTTAAGAGTACGAACCATTGGATTGCAATGTAAATATAGTTGAAAACTTTATCAATATTTAAAAATAAAAGTTAGATCAAAATTTTGAATCAAATATTTAAATAGATATAGTCGGTACATTATAACCTCAAATAATTAGCATTTTAGTCATAGTCTCGCTACATTTCTCTTATTTCTAAATTCTAATAGTATGTTATGGGCCTAACATTTCTGTTGGGTCGTAAGCTTAAGCCCAATCCGCAGGTGCAACCTAAAATATACCTCATTACCTTTATGAAAGTTTTTTCAACATTATAATAATTAGGGGTGAACATTGAGTCGAGTACTCGAACTTGACTCGATGTTGGCTCGAGCTCGACTCGAAATTAGTCGAGTTGAGTTCGATCACAATAGAACTCGACTTGACTTATGAAAGTTTTTTCAACATTATAATAACAATATATATGTACATATTGACAAAACAGTTACCACTAATCTAAATCTTATTACAAATCTCAAAATAATATATTATGAAAAGATTAGGTGTATGAAAATAAAACAATCTCTGATAATAACCTAAAAAAGTAATAGACCTGAAGATGTTAAATTTAAGGCTATGGATTTAATGCGTTTTGGTCAAATTTGGGCACCTCTATGGTCAACATTATTATTAACCATACTCTAAAGTCTAATCGCACCTGAGAGAAATAAGAAATGATTTGACCCTCATGATCTCAACCTTCTACTCTAGCCAGCTAGACTCATTTTGATTAGACTAAGTTATACCGTATTCATAATTTTAGGAGCTGTAAGGAAACAGATGGGATCATGGGACCATTTTAGTAATACCATTTATTATCTGTCACTTATCTCATTTTGCACTAAGTCGTTTTCATTTGGCTATTTTCCTGGTTCAGACCAGACATTTTCTACTTCTTAAAATCTAAATTTGGCATAACGTGTTTTTAACTTTATGTCGTTTTGGTGCCAAACCAAACTCAATTATTCAACAAACATGCATAGCTACTGTTCTTGGTAACATGCGCCCAAACGCTTAACCAATCACACTTGTCTTCACTTTGACCAACAGCTACACGCATGGCGCATTTTAGACTCACCCATCTGACAGATCAGGGGAATGAAATCAACGGTATTATGAATGAAAGGTCGTTAACGATTTCTCTTGTCTTCCATTTATCTCTGACCTTGTCATAATCTCGCTTAAGGTAATTTTCTGTGAATTCATCTGTTGATTACTCTTTTTTCTTGTTCTAATTCACACTACACTCTGTTTTCTATGATACTGTAGCTGGGGTTTAGAGAAGGTGTTGATTCTCATTTTTCTTGTTTCTGTTTCTTGGGTGCCATTTAGGTTTTTAGAGACCTTAGACTCCATAATTGTGTTGAATTTTAAGTGGGATAATGCATATTGGTTTCTGGGTTGTTTATAGAATTCTCGTCCTTTTGGCTTTTCTGATCAATAGGTTTCACTGTTCTTTTGGTGAATTCAGGTCATGATTTTTTTACCTGATGACAAGTTTTAATGTTATGGGCTCTTTTAGATTCATGCACATGTCTTTACTATCAAATTCATGAATGAGTTGCAGTAATGGTGGTTGTTTTTTCATCCCATGGCAGTAGGCAGCAGGACAGGTAGTTTATTAATGAAGTTGGAATTAACTTACTTCTAGAGTGTAGGAAATTAAATTTTTTGGCTAGTTGGTTGACTAAACATGATTCAATCAATTGTGTGATAGAAGGTTATAAGAAGATGAAACAGTATGAATTTTCTATTAAGATCCTTGAAGAGGTTGCACACTGGTTTGAATGCTCATGGTCTGTTAACCTTAAGAGAGGATGTCCCTGATGGAACATAAGTTGGAGCAAGATATCAGAAAATATCTTCCCATTTCAGAAATTCTTGTTCTTGTTCATAAAACTTTTAACCAGTAGCCGAGCAATACAATAGCCTGATGCAATGATACTGTAGCAATTCTAATTTTTGTAATGCAGATTTTGCTTGTTAAGTAGTTAAAGATCAGTTTGTAACCTAATAGATTGGGTGTGATTATCCATCTCTATCTAATTAAGGGATTACTATGCTTGCCAAGATAGGTGTGAATTACGCTTTTCTTTTGAATCAGCATTGATGGATTGTACTTTTGTTTTTTTTTTTTTTGGGTAAATGGTGGATGGATTGTACTTGTTTTGACATTTGTGACTATTTTCTACCTTATCTTATAAAATGAAAACTGGATGTGGCAAATCAATATTCTGTGTCTTTTATCTGTTTTTATCAGTTTCATTTCTCCCTCTATCTTGAGAATGTTGCTGAGTTTTACAAAATCTGAAATCCTTTGGTTTTTATTTTTTTCCATTCTTTCTTAGGTTGCTAAACCAGAGAATTGAGGGATGGAAATAAATGACCAATCTGTTGACAGTATATATATGGGGGATTCTATTCTAGAAAAAACTCTCTCGCATGGAGAGATTTCATCAAGTGGAAAGGACGTGCAAGAGATAGAGAGAACCATGAAAGTTTTAACTAGAGTTGACTTGGACTTGGCACTTTCTTCTGAGAAGTTGGTAAACTTACATGTACTTTTGATGCACCTTTTAGCTAGGGGGGATGATCTTGAAACAATGACCATGGGTAATATACATATTTCGGCAACCTCCATTGAGAAGGCATTGTTATATGATCTTTTATCTGGCATTTTAGATTCTGAGTTAAGAGAGGTGGACATTTTTTTGGATGCTCTCCAACTGGAGATTGTTGATGCCCATCATAAAATATCTTCATGCAGACATTTGAGAGAGATATTCACTATGATGGAACACAAGTTGCTTGATTCTGAAGATTCATTGAAGCAGTCGCAAGAGCATGTTTTGGAGTTGAAAATGCAGTCAGCCAAGTTTCAGAGAGCCTTGTCATTTCTTAAACATAATAACTGTAAGTTATGAAGTTTTGCTTAGCATCGACTTGTTTCCTTGGTATGAATAATGTAAGCTGCATGGGGATATAAGATTATTCTACTTTTTGATCATTAATCTTTCCATGAAATGCTCATTATAGGTGAAAATGATGACACCATAGAGTTATCGGTAAACAGTCCGCTATCAAACATGAATGGGAAATCAAAAGTTCAAAAAGCTGCGGCACAAAGACATATTTTAAGGATGTTGGAGAAGTCTCTTGCAAGGGAGCTAGATCTGGAGAAGAAAATATCAGAGTTCAAACAAAATGAAGAGCAGCTGAAGTTAAAGCTACACCATACAGAGGAGCTGTCTTTTCGCATGGAAGAAGCAGCTGAAGTCGTATGGGGAAGGTTTGTGGAGGCTGAAAATTCCGCAGAGGTGCTCATGGGGATTTCCAAGGAATTGCTAGGTCGACTCCAGATTTTTCAATTTAATCTGAATGGTTCCCTCCAACGAGAAGCTGAGATAAAAACTAAATTCGAAGATTGCATTGGGCAGCTGAAAGCCAAAGACTTTGCTTTACAAAAACTTGAGAGCAGCAATGCAGAACATTCTACTGAAAGTTGTGAAGTGTTAACATTGAAGGAAAAAGTAAAATCACTTGAGGAACAGCTGAAAGAATCTGAGATCCGGCTGATGAATGTAAATGCTTCCTATGAAGCAAGTCAAGAGCAGCTTGAAGAAATGGAAAATATCATTGAGTCACTGAAAGAGAACATATATGAAGCAGAAAGTAGGGCTGAAAGTGCTGAAGCCAAGGTCACACAGTTAACTGATACAAATTTGGAACTAACTGAAGAGCTAAATTTTCTTAAGGGTAACAATGATAGTAATGCAAAGAGGGTAGGCTTACTTGAAAAACAGGTGAGGGAGTTAGAAATCCAGTTACAGAATGCAAAGGCATCTTCTGAAGCAAGTCAAGAGCAGCAAAATATGTTATACTCTGCAATATGGGACATGGAAACTTTAATTGAAGATCTGAAATCAAAGGTCTCCAAAGCTGAAAGTAAAACTGAGAGTGCAGAGGAGCAAAGTATTGTACTATCTGAAAACATTTTTGAATTAAATGAAGAACTAAATGCTACGAGGGATAGAGTGAAAATCTTGGAGTTGTCTTTGGATGAAGCTAACAATGTAAAAGCTGCTGGTGCAAAAGAAATTAACCTTAAGACCAAGCTTATGATGGATATGGTTATGCAACTGGCAACTCAAAGGGAGCTCATTCAAAATCAGGTATTAACTTTCTTGTATCTGGTTGTTTATTCTGTTCTTTGCTTTCAGGGACATTAAATTTGATTTATTGTCTTCCATTTCATTATCTTGTTCACCTGTCTGTCATCATAATGGATTAGTAATGAAGTTGGCAACCATCATCATAAATGGAAGTTAAAATTTCAGTTGACTGCAACTCAAGAGAGGTTATAGCTTACCTATTAAGGAGGTGATTGCCAATTGCTCCTATGTTCCATTTTGAATTCTGGAGTTGTAGCTTTGTCTTAATGTATAACAAATTGAATCATGCAAATGCCATGGGACATGCATGCCTAACCTGAATGCTTGTTCCTAAACTTTAATTTTGGGACTTTTTTTGTTTTCTAAATAAAGAAATAGAATTATACTTGACAAATTAACATACTTCAATATTTTCTGTGCAGGTATACTCCTTAACAAATCAGAATGAGTTATTGGAGGAGAAATTGCGGTATACAGAAAAAAATGCTTATGCAACTATTCAAAATTTGAGAGATGGTGATGACAAAGAGCTGCCACTTTCCAAGAATGATTTGATTCATTCTAATTGTATAAACACATCTGAGGGTTCAGAGTCCCTAACTCAAAGTATCCAGGCAGGTACTGTTTTGGATCTTATGACTATCAGATTCTCAGTTTGTAAAGGGCACGATGGTCACCATGACTTAGATCATGTTTACTAATAGAGACCATTTGCATTTCAGTTAAATTTTTTTCTGGGAGATTTGGGGTTTTGATGGTTATCATAGTGGTTCTAAGACAGAAGAGTTTTGTTATGTCACACATAAGGAGGGAAAGATTTTAACATTGATACTCATATTTTCTCATTCCCTGGAGACTCTGACAATTCTTTATCCTAGTCCTAAATTATCTGTTTCTTTTTTTTATTCAGGCGGATGAATTTTCCAGAGAGTCTGGGGCATGTGAGACTGAAGTTGGGCCTTCAGGCACAGCAGACTATAACAATGGGATGGCTTCAAATCCTGAGGCTGCAACGACGGGACATCTTAGCCGAAACGGTGTTGTTCTCGCGATATTTGTGTCTTTACTTTCAGTGTCAGTCTTATATTTTCTCAAACAAGAAACCTTTACCCTGCCTCTTTGATAAGATTTGATGGCTGAGCTCTGCCATGCATCAGGATTTGTGTGTTTCAGGCGACAATGTACGTACCACGCCGGATTTATTGGATTGCTTCCATGTGTTCCTTGGTTTGTACATAATTGATTTCATTATTGTATTCTTTGTATATGTTCTCGTAATGTTGATAATTGTGAAAATGAAACTATGAATGTATTTATTTACAGTCTCCATGTGTGTTTATTTTAATCTTTTTGAAATTTGCTTCCATGCATTTATTTTTGTAAATGTCATTCCATGGTCTGTTCTCTATCCAATTTATGAAAGTTCACTAGCTTTAAGTTTTGTAGTTAAACCACTGTTGGATGACCTCATGATAAAATAGCAAAAAGAGGTTTTATGAGCTTCGAAGTTCGAGTTCTCTTACGCTCTAATAGAGGTGACCACTGAAGCTTTTACTGGCCGACAGTTCCAGGCCCTAGGGGATTAACTGAGTGCATGCAAGTTTGACCCGGACATCCCAGGAGAAAAAAAAAAAACAAAAAAAAAAAAGTTTTGTGGTTGATATGAGGCTAGAGTGTTGGATTATTGGCAAGAAGAGAATTAGAATTTGCACAAAATTCATTGAAAACAATTGGACTTCGTTTATTTCGCTATTTTTTCACTATCCTTTTCTAAAAACCAAAAAATGCATTTGTTTCAAATATTCTCAAAATCTAATCATACTTTATTCAACTAAAAACATTAACAATTACATTTTTTGTAAAAATAACTCAATTTTATTTTTAACCAAAATACTAATCTAAAAAAATATTAGAACAGTGAACCAAACGGAGTGGAAGAAATTTATTATTATTTTTTTAAAATATTAATGTCGGACATTGTTTTAATTTTTGTAAAATAATAGTTTCATTGAACAAAAATTTAGAATTTTACAGAAGGGGATTGAATCTTCATGTTCAAAACGGTGCCGTTTGGAGGACTTGAATCCGCCTACGAGCTCATAAGTAATCACACTTTGATGAAACGTGGCAGCCTATCAATTAAACCATTTACACTGAATCCAGACTGCTGAAGCCCTAAGTTCCAAGCTCTGCCGAAATTAACCCTAAACCTAACAATAGTCATTAGTCACTCTATAAAATCCATTTAAAACCATCTCTGCGGCTGAAGCTAACACCAGTTGATTCGAGTTGGGTACCAAAATTCTTTCGGGTAGTGGATTATGATTTATATAACCTTATTTAAGGCACCAAATAGCCCCTTGCTTCTTCAAGCATCCTAGTTGCAAGGAACAATCGAGAAAATGGGTATTATGTGGTGCTAAATTTAAGCTTTGGCAATTAACTTTTGTTACTTGCGATGAATTTTAGTTATTCTTGTCGCATTAAGTTTTTCGCCAAAAGAAATTGGATCTCTGTTTATTTTTTATCCCGTTCTCTGGGTTAATTAGAAGGCAAAGCAAAGATGATGAAGAAACTGATTCCATCTGAATTATTCATGTAGAATAATTTCATATCATAATGGTCTTCAAAGTTCTCTGATTGCTTTGCTTAATATCACTAATCATTTTGTTGGGTTGCTTCTTATTGCTTTTTTTTTCTTTTTCTTTCTTTCTTTTTTACTCAGTTTTAATTTTTGAATTTATATTTTCTGAACAAAATGTATGCACCAAAATTCAGAGTCTGTTATATTCTTATTTTTCAGGCTATACGAGCATGGTGCAATAGAAATATTTCTTTCTCGGTTCATTTTTGCTTGACTTGTCATTTTAAAAAGACTAGTATGGGAAGAACTGGGGAGAAAATATGCTGCCATTTTGATTAATTTCTCTTTCGATTGTCTGCAATGTGATTGATTTTGATAGTATGCTGTTAAAGTGGGATACATGGTTATGTTGTATGTGCTTTAAAGTTTATGCTTAAGATTATGGTTGTGATAATTGTGAGGAAGCTTTTTGGCCTTTGGACTTTGCTTGTAACTGTGCTTTTTCCTATTGCATGGGAGGATAGATGTGTGATGTGCTTGATTTATTTGTTAGTTTTAGGAGAAAATTATGTGCATTAGAGACAATGATAAAATGTCTTTCTACTTTCTAGTTCATTCAAGTGATGCCTAAGTTGGATTGGTTGAACCACATATCTTGAATGTAATATTGGTTTAAAAGGGTACAATCTGGTGGTCTAATTTGTATATCTTGAATGCAAGTCTATCCGGAATTATGTTGCTTATGGGGTGTGTTTGAACAATTAGTTATGACTTATATCTGAACTAAATGAAGAGGATGAAAATTAAATTACTTGCAGAAGTTAAAAACCATGCACATTATGTTTTTGGCTACTTGAATTCTTTCCTTGATCCTGTTTTTGATAAATTGCAACTGGATAGTGATAGAAGATTTTGCTGCCATGGAAATATACTACGGTCTCCCTTTATATATATATTGTGAGTAATTCTCATACTAAAGGAAAAGAGAATATAAGTGCATGGATGACGGAATGTCATTGGATGAGTATACAGGATGATGGGCCACACCCAATTGTCAATCATATCCATGAGACTTTCTTTCATTGTAATTTAGTTGCACTGTTTTGCTTTCTTTAGCTAAGAATCTGGTCAGTAACTCATCTAGTTGCTATTATTTTCTTCTTTTGATCTGGTTGAGAAACAAATATTGGCAGAGGTTTAGGCATGTTGTTGGCAGGAGTAAGGTGACAGGTTACTCTTTCAGTTGTATATTTACTGGTGAATGCCTTTGCTAGAATGAAGATGAATACAATTTGAAACTTGTATAAAATAGATTAAAAATGAAGAGCAATGTTATGTTTATAGCTAAGTTATACAAATAGACAAAAAACAAAGGACAAAGTAGTCATTTTACATAAATTTTGTGGTATAATTCAATTGTATGACTCAATTATATATAAAGATGAACTTGCTAGAGTGAAGATGAATACAAATTAAAGTAGTCATTTTACATAAATTTTGTGCAATTTTTTTTTAGTTGTAAGCAAAACATTATTGAAAGATGAAAGGAGAGTAGAAAGAGAAGAGGGAGAGGAGTGGAGGAGAAATGGTTGAGATTTAGTTGATTAGCATAATTATCCAACAAGGTTTGAGGTATGAGATAAATAAATGTATATTTTTGTTATGAACCTAATTGTTTAACTTATACTAACTTTTAGGTATATATGGTTTTTCACATTTATGAATTTATGAAGTTATGCATGCATATTCATTAATAAGCATATCTCATATAGAGCTGGTCAAGGATTGGTCTCAAGTGGGCTCAGGCTTGGGCCAGTTTGGGACTGGTCTCATTTGGGACTAGTTGCTCATGGGTTTCAAGCCCATGAGCAATTTTAGGACTCGGATCGGTCTTAGTCCCATAAGACCAGTCTTATGGGTCTGCAAAATTTTATTTTCTCTCTTATCTTTTTTTTTTTTTTTTTTTATATATATATATAGTTTAGGAGAGAAATAAAATTCTGAAAGGGAGGTTTATTAATTTTTAGGGGTAGATTAGTAAGTTTTTAAAAGTTTAATTAATTTTAAAAATAATAAATAAATTAATAATTAATTTTAACATAAATGTAATATTCACACAATCACGCTTCACAAATAAATAATTAAATAATTTTTTTTATTAAATTATTCATCTCCATCGTTAATAATATTTAAATCATTAAAATATGTGTTCTTAAAGAGGTCGAGTAGTTTAGGATTTTTAGGGTGTTGTTGTAGTCTTTTCTTTGCATGAATCCAATCCTGTAAACAGGTTATCACTTCTATCATCTCATCGGTTAAAGAGCATCTTCTGTCTTCAATAATCCGATCACTCGTTGAAAATGCTGACTCGGATGCAATTGTAGAAATCGGCACAGATAAAATGTCATGTGCCATTTGGGTTACAATGGGGAATCGATTTTGATGTTGGTTCCACCATTGAAGCAAATCCATTTTACGTTTCTCATTCTTCGTCATGTAGGACATGTCTATTTGTAGGTAGCGATTCAACTCATTTGGTCCATGTATATACGAGTTGGAGTTGTTACTTTTGTCATGGTCCATATACGTCTACATGCTCGATCCTTGATGGAGGTCTTTATCAGGGTCCTGATCGTCTCTCTTGGACGTTTCACTTCCATTTTCATTGTACCTGTTTTGATATAAAGAAAAAAAACTTTCCAATTTTTGCTTAAAGTCAGTGAAATAAGACGTATAATCATGTCCTAAATGTTGGCCTATCTCAGTAACTATACAGTTAACTACGTATAATTTAAACCTAGGATCTATAACAAGTCTTAATCCATATAAGAATTGAATATTTAACCAATATTTTTTGGATTTTTCTTTTATCTTTAAAACAATTTCCATTAAAATGTCATTATATCTATATTTAACAAAAGTTTTAGAAATTTGAAGTAAAATATCTAATACTAAATTAGTAGTTGGATAATAAATACCACTTAATGTATTAGTGGAATAATAAAAAAATTTAAGAAATGAATAAAAAAGTTCATAAACCGCCCAATCATCATAGCTAACAATTTCCTTTGGATGGTTCTTCTGGTTGACGAAATCTGTAATTTGTCTTGCGGTTGACAAAACTTTTTCCAACATCAAGTAAGTGGAGTTTTAACGAATAAACATGTATGTACATAACTTCAAAGGTCGAATTGGTGGGTCCTCTTACCTATAATATTGGACATACTTCTGCCATCTTTTATTGCTACCGTCGACGATAAATCCGATAGCTGCGCACACCCTCTCCATCTTCGCATGTATAGTATTTAAACCTGCTTTAATAATTAAATTGATGTTGTGGCAAGCACATCTCTGGTGAAAATTTTTGCCTTCACCACGTGGATCCAATCTCTTTTCAAATAAAGAGATTGTCGCTCGCGGTGTTAACAATTGCATTATCAAGCGTTAGCGCTACAACTCTATCAATTAATACACATTCTTGCAAAACTTCAAGAATTGTAAAATAAATAGTGTCAACACTATGTTTTTCATATAATGGTTTAAAACCCATTAATTTTTGTTGTAAACCCTAACTATGATATAAGAAATGTATTGTGACAATTAAAAAATATGTTTTTGATCTACAAGCCCATATGTCTGATGTAAGTGCAATAAATATATTCCTAAAATTTTGATATTCGTTTTAAGTTTATTATTTATTTCGTTATAAAGTTTTAGTATATCTCTTTTACTTGTACTTCTATTAACAGGGTAT